TTTAGATAAACTCAGTGTCTTGGGGAAGTCAGAAAAATGCATCATCTACTACACACTAGTGCCAAAATGGTTACGATAAGGTTACAGTAATGAATGACACATATTTAACAGATTACTAAAAATCTTTGCTTTCAGCACCTTCAAAGAAGCCCAGCAAGCCAATAGAGAGGCATACGCTGCTACAGTGTACCTAGGAACTCAGATTCCAGAACCAGAACCCTGCATTCAAAAAGCTAGTGAAGTACAGAGTGAATAAAGGATTGCGTGTTACATTGAATAATCTCTTTAATACGACTCTTCTCCTCCTTCTACATTTGTTGTGCTTGTTATTGTTACTTGCATCAACATTAAACATGTAAATAGTTTAAAGAGCCAAATAGCTCTGCAAGTTTTATTATAATATAGCAATAATCCTTTTCACTTTCCACTTCACTGTTTTCCTCTTCCATTTCATTCTGGTTATAATTTTGATATTTAACTCCTTATCTCTACATTATACACTTTTATGACTTCTTCACTTTTCAATTTCAGGTTCTCTCTCTTAGCTCCCCATTATGGAAGATGAAGATTTAGAAGTCTTTCCTCTACCCAACCCACCAGAGACACACTCATCCTTCCCATCCTTCCATTTCCCCAGGGAGTAGTACTTTGGTTAGACCAGTTTTCAAGTATAGGGGATTAGGATTAGGCGTTATTTAAAAAGATGATCCACACAGTGAGCTGTCTTATACACAGATGATGTCCTCTACAACATTTCATTCCCCAGAATTAATCATAAATTTTGTCTTTTAATCTTATTTATTTTATAATTTCTTATTATTGGGTCACTAGAAAAGCCATGATGTATTTTTTAATGTTTCCCTAGGTAAAGTGTGTCATGACTTGTCCAATGACTCAAATATATTTGATTGATGCACATCTTTGTGGGGTACAATTTGGTTTTTTGAAGCACACATGCAATGAGTGGTAATCAAATCAAGGATATTACGGTATTCATCATCTTCAAAAGAATATTCATTATGTTGGCATTTTTGATTTCCATTCCATTAGGTGTTTTTTGTTTGTTTTTTAGTTATATAAGATTGGCAATATCTTTTCTTCTTCATCTTCTTCTTCTTTTTAAGAGAGATTTTTGCTATAGCATACTTGTGCTTGCCAGAGAAACATAAAGTTAGAAATCACCCTTCAGGGTGGATGGCAATGCTGCAATCACTCTTCCTCCATTCTCCTCTCAGGATCTTGGGTATGTATGCACATGTGCCCAGCATGAGTTTTAAGCTGCCAGGTATGGGACTCGATCCGTGGTCAACTATGTGGGAGTCCGTGACGTAACAATGAATGCCATCTGCTGGTCCCATCTTTTTTCTTTTTTAAACTCTCCTGTTTACCTGTTCACAGACATTCTTGTGTCTATTGCTTTTCCCTGAGTCCCTCTCACCCCATTTCATATTCTCCACCCCCATCCAGTCTCTGGTGTCTATGGTTGTCCTCTCTACTGCTGTGCCCTCAAGTCTTTCCATTTCTTATTGTTGAGATTTTTCTGAACTTTTCATTAATTTCACTTTGGATTCTTCACCAATAAATAAATCTAAGGCAGTCAGATGCATCAGGAATTCTGTGAGTTCACTCTTCTTGAGGAAGTCTCTCCCCCAGTGCCTTCTGATCCATCCGGACAGAACTGGCCATGGTCTGCACGTGATGTATAGCTGACATCTTTTCAGGACCATTACAGAGACTACTCTCCTTTCCTTGAGCTCCAGCTTCCTGTATTCCATTTCTTCTCTTTTCTTGATTTAGTCCTTCATTTTAGAGTCCATCTCATTTTCCTAATAATTGAGAAAAGGTATGTTGGAGGTACATTTTTTAGTATCTGGAATTGGTTACAATGTAGGACTTCACACTGGATGGATTAGGACATCTGAACTGCCTTCCATCATTGGAGAAATCCCAAACTATTGTGATCCTTCAGCCTTCCTGATCTAGTTCTCTTCTCTGGAAGTTTATCCAATCTGAAATTTGTCTTGGCATGCATTTGTTTCTTCCCAAGGACGTGCTCTATGTCCTTAGTCTTCTTCAATCTAGAGACTTATTATTTCAGATCCAGAAGATTTTAATTTTTTAATTGATGATTTCTTCCTCTGTGTTTTCTCTCTTCTCTCTGATGTTAAAATTTTTGGACTGGTCCTCCAGTTTTCTTATCTTTATTCCTGCCTGTATCTATACACATTCCACTTTATAGGAAAGTATTAAGACCTTCTCTTTCATCATAACTTTTGAGTATTTTTTAAAGAATTATTTTATTTAGCTTTATTTAAATTTGACCAGAGAAGAAAAGAGAGGGGAAAGAGAGAGAGAAAGCAAGCTGCCAGATCCAGGGTGCAAACCGTGGCCGGCCATGTGGGAGTACAGTGCCCTTAACCACCATGCCACCTGCTGGCCCTGAGTTTTTTTTTTTTTTCCGGTGAGATTTTTGCTATAGAGTGCATGTGCACTCACCGGAGAGACAAAGAAAGTGAGAAATCACCCCCAGGGAGATGACTACACTGCGATCCCTTCTCTTCCATTCCGCTTTCAGGATTTTAGGCACGCACACACACACACACACATGCCTGGCCTGAGTTTTAAGCCACAGATCTAGGACTTGAACAGTGGTTGGCCATGTGGAAGTCGAGCACACCAACTACTACACCACCTGCTACCCCGACTTTTGAGTTTTTATTTCTCTTTTAACACTTTCATTGGGTTGCTGGCAGAGTCTTCACAATTTTCACTTTAAAAAAAAATAGAAAATATGTCAAGACTTTGATATTTGTTATCTGCTTTTTAAAATGCTATTTCTTGGGACCAGCAGTTGGTGTAATGGCCATGTTGCTGGACTTCCATGTAGTCGACCGTGGTTCGAATCCTGGATCCGGTGGCCTAAACTCACACCAGGCTTATGTGCATGCATGCCCAAGATCCCGAGAGGAGAATGGAGGAGAAGAGATTGCATTTGGTCATCACCCCTGGGGGGTGATTTCTCACTTTCTATCTCCGTTTCTCTCTGTCTTTCTTGTGAGCATACATGCCCTATAGCAAAAACCTCTCAAAAAAAAGCTATTTCTTGTTTCACATTTGCAAAAACCTTCTTTACCCCTCTGAATATAGTGATCATAACTATTTTGGCATTCCAGGGTCTCTGTATATCCCAGGCTTTAATTTCTTCCATTTGATTGTTTGAATCTTCAAGTCCATGTTAGAAGAGTTCCCTGGATGTCTGATGTCCTCAATTGTCACTAACTTACTTGGGAGCTGATAATGCGTGAGTCAGGCTTGTGGACTGAACTACAGCCTGAGGTGCCATGGGCTACCTGTGCCATCACAGTGTCTTTCCTCTGGGCTCAGTCACATTCCCGCTGCAGTCGCTGGAGTTCCTGCCTGGGAGCCGAGGGCACGGAGGCACTATTCCCTAATCCCAGTGGGGGTAGGGAAGACGTTTCAATAGCTGAATGTTTAGATAATCTTGTTGCTTCCGGTCTTATTTTCCTACCTAATTCCGGTAGTCATCATGTATTTTAGCTCAGACATTCTGTGTTTTACCCTCAGTAGGGACCAACTTTCAGTTTTCTTCTTGGGTTAGGAAGGGGGAGCCATTTAGCTATGCAGAGTGGGTAAAAGGGCCTAGAGGTCTTAATATTTATTAGAGATTTTCAACCAATTTACTTTTTTTGTTTTATAGTTTTTATTTTATTTTTTATTTTTTGCCTTATGGTGTGTGTGCTTGTCAGAGAGAGAGAGAGAGAGAGAGAGACAGACAGACAGACACATGAGAGGGAAAGTGAGAAATCATCCCCAGGGGGAATGGCCATTCTGTGATCCCTTCTCCTTCGTTATCCTCCTGGACTCTTAGGCATGCACACACATACCATGTGTGATTTTTGAAGCCACAGGTCCAGAATTCCAACTGCGGTCAGTCATGTGGGAGTCCAGTGACATAACAGCTACATCATCTGCTGATCCCTAGCTTCTTTTTCATCAGTACCACCTTATATGGATACTGAGTGCTGCCAATTCCTGAGCCTCTGGGGATTCTTGACTTTACCCAGGGGCAACTTAAAATTCAGCTTCTGGTGTTCTAAATCATTTTCTGCTCTACATCTTTCCATTCCCCTTTAAAGACTGGTGGTCTCTATTAAGTTTTCCCAATCCTTAAGAACTTACCACTTTTCAAACATTCCTGTCATTTTACTAGGATATTAGAAGGGAGAAAATGTGGATTAATTGCTATCTTTACCTAGAAGTTCCAGTCCCTGTCTTTCCAGGACTCCCCAAATCACAGATGATAGAAGAGTATCAGCTAGGCTCAGTCCAGAAGACAAATGGACAAATTTGGAGCCCCTCACATTGGCTCCCTTGTACTCAGAGAGATGACTTTGTTAATGAGACCATCACTTTCCACAGCCTCTCACTGAGCTCCTGCCTCTGCAGACAAAGTCGTTTATGCATCTGTGCTGGACATGGGGCCGCTGTGCACAGGCAGGGGCAAGGAAGGTCTCTGAGGAGGCAGCAGAAATGCATGGTTTTTATCGAAAGCCTAGCACTGACGCTTCCTAAGGGGAAGAAATGCTTCGCGATGCACAGCCCTGATTTTAAAGTATGAAAAGGAAGAGAGTAGAATCGCTTATAATTTCAACTCGTTAGGACCCTAATGCTGCTATGACCAGAGACAGGAGGGATGGACAGGTCTAGACTCCCAAAGACACTCTGGAGAAGGGAAGCTGAGGCAAACCACCAGCCATGTCTCTAAGTACGGGGGAGGGGGTGGGGTTGCAGGCTGGTCCACCTCCACTCAGACAGAAAGGAAGCATGTCTGAACAGCATGTCCATATAGGATGAAAAGGTTTGTGTGCACTGCTACTTCTCCGCAATGCCACGGATAAAATGCTCTCCCCTGCTGCAGACTGCTCCTGACCCTTTCTGTGTATGTGACCGTCCAGGTATCTCCCCAGCAGCCTACTTACCTGTGGATGATGTGGTACCTCTGCAGATACTCCAGGGCTAGAGCCAGCTCACAGATGTAGAGCTTGACTGCCCCCTCCGTGAAATGTACATTCTGCTGCAGGTGGTAGCGCAGGTCCCCTCCCAGCAGCAGGTCCACCACCATGAACATGTCTTCCTCATCCTGGAAGGAGTACCTAGGAGCACAGAGGGATGAAGAAGGTTAGGGGCCAAGGCACCACCAACATCCTCATGACCAGTGCCCCCATTTTGCAGAATAGCTAACAGGCTCAGGGAGAGGCATGATATTGCCTAAGTCATGGGAATAGAGAGGGGCAAAAGGCCTTCAATTCCCCAAGCTGCTTTCACAGTGTTGGGGTCTCCTCATTCCTCATGCAGGGAAGGTGAACAGTGGTGCCCAGCATTAGTCCCCAGGCTCTGGCAGACAGACATTTTAACTATTGGACTCCAATATGTTACTTCAACTGTTTTTCGCAGATGCTTCAGTTAGGTGGCAGGGCTTGTAGTCGACAGTCTTCAAAGATATGTCTTCCTCCCCAACTTTTCCTCTGTTCCCTATACACACATGCCAACCCCCAAATGAAGCATGTTTCTGCAACTCTTGAATGTGGTGATGTTCTTTGACATACAAGTCAAGGCTTTACGAGATTGGAAGACTCTATTTCCTGACTCTTGGAACTTGGCTAGAACCTAAGGCATGTGGAGAGGCTGTGAGAAGGAAAACCAAAAGGGTCCAGTCAGCGCCCCAGCTGAGCACCCAGTGACAATCAGCACCAGCTGCCAGCCATGAGCCACCTTTGACACTTGGATGTTCACTGCAGCTAGCTGACATCACATGAAGCAGAACTGTCCAGCATAGTCAGTCAACTCACAGAACATGAAATAATAAAATGGTGGATTTTTAAGCAGTACATTTTTAAGGTGACATTTTATTTTGCTTTGCATTTAAAAAAAAATTGCTAAAGGGTGCCCATGCTCACTGAAGACAGAGAAAGAGAGAGAGAGAGAGAGAGAGAGAGAGAGAAAGCAAAAGAGAGAAAGTACACCCCCATGGGGAATGGTCATGTTGTAATCCCTTCTCCATCTCTCCCTTCTTTAAGGATTTTGGGCATGCATGCATATGCACCTCACATTTCTCAAGTCACTAGGTCTAGGACTCAAACCATGTGGTCAGCCGTGTGGGATCCAGCCACCTTAACTACCATGCTACAGACTGGTCTTTATTTGACATTTTTGTTTGCTTCCAAAGCAATAGAAACCTGATACAGTACTGGATTAATTTATTTTTTAGTTGTCGGAGGAAATACATGTTCATGAGACAGAGATGATGAGACAGAGAGAAGTCAACATTATTTTAGCCACTCGTGTGCCTTCTTTCTTCCATATGAATTTTAGAAAGATTGTTTCTAGTTTCTTCAAAAACTGGGCTGTGACTTCTTTATCTTATTCATGACGGAGGGTGTGTGCATGAGAGAGAGGATACACTCTCTACGGGGTTGGGTCACACTGAGATTCCTTCCTCCCAGTCCTCCAGCCTGCTGGATCTGGAACACTGTGTACATTCCTGGTGTGCTTCAGGGTAACTGGGCCAGGATTTGAACTGTGGTTGTCACATGATACTGGCTTCTCTTGAGCAATTCATTACTTCTACACCGTGAGCAAGCCTGCTTTGATTTTTTTTGGAATTATATTGATTTACAGGTTAATTTGAAGAGAATGAACATTTTTACAATGTTGAACATTTTTAACCATCAACATGGAATATCTATTTGTTCTGGTCTTCTTTTACATTTGTCAACAAAGTTGTGCATTTTTCTTTTTAATACGTGTATTTTTATTCCAAAATTTTAAAAACTCGTTTTTTTACTGCTATGCTGAATATAATCTTTGTTAAAGTGGTTTACTAAGCAGTCTTTGCAAAGGGAAAAGAAGTACTTTGGAATCCACTTGTGTTTATCTTGTATCTAGAAAACTAGCTGAATTCTTTGTTATTAGATCTAATGTTTTTCCCATTGATGCTCTGGGTTGCTTATTATAGTAAAACAACTAAATCTTCTACAAAAAACTATCACGTCTATATCATTACAACCCTTATGCCTCATTTCTTTTTCTTATTTTATTCACTCTCTGGGCCCTCTCACTATCTGGTGGGCATTTTTGTCCTATACTAAACATCAGTAAAATATTTTACTATTAGGAAAGTAATTTGTTGTATTTGATGAATATCATTATCCAGTTAAGAAAGTTCTTTCTATACTGCTAAGTATTTTTATCATAAGCAGATGCAGAGTTCTTTGTTTAAAACGTCACACTGATTTCTTATTTTTTAGACTAAACCTTCCCTTCTTATAAACACAAACATGTATGTGTGCATGTGCAAACACAGGCCTGCATGTGTGCTTGCACACACACTTAAATGCACTCAAGTTGTCAATACTTCATTTAAGATTTTTGAATCTAATATTCCAAATGACACTAGCCCTTAATTTCCTGTCTGCCTTTGTTCTGACTCAGTTTGGGGATCATGGTGATTCAGGCCTCATATAGGATAAAGTGGTTTGCTTTTCCTCTCTTGTTTAAGCTTGGGGAGGGTTTACAAGAGGCTCATTTGTCTGTAGAAGTCTGGTCTCATAATCTCTTTGTTCTCCTGCTTTTGATTCATGTAGGACTCTCCTTCCTCAATGTGCTCCTGCTGGTGCTGTCAGATGGCTGGTGCTCCGCTCTCTCAACAAGGAGAAGAGCAATGAGCTGGGCTGAGTAGGGAACACACAGCGTATCTGGCCAATAGTGTCGGTTCAGGGACTTGGAATTGTATGTGGACGCTGAAAGAGAAATCCCCTTCTGTCAGGTTGGCAAGGCTACAGGTTGTGACTGAAAGGCTACCTGAGATCCTGTTGCTCAGAACGTGGGCAAGGCCATCCACAGACTGAAGCTGCAGCGAGACAGCAGGACTGAGCGCTGTATACAGAGGTATACATGGGAGGCGCTGGCTACAACCTGGCCAAAGGAAGATTCATCCCTAAATTCCATACTTACATGCACAATAACTTTTTTTTTTTTTAACTTTAGCTACTTTTTATATTAACTCTCTACCATGTGGAGTCATCTGATACATCTTTTCATGTATTTTCTACTACATAGAAGGGTGTAGATGCCCCAAAAGAAACCACTGGTCTCAAGTATCATCTGTCTCCTACAGATGCTCAATTTGTATTCTAACAGCTGATGGTCTATTGAAACATTATATTAATAACCAGTCAGTTCTGCACTCTCAATTCACAGCTGAATTGTCAAAGGGTATCTCAATCAATATTCTACCAGAACTCTTTGAAGGAGAAACATGAATTTTTTTGGGGGGACACTTTCAGACTAAAAGGAATTCTAAAGAGGAAAACTAAAATGCAAAGAGAACAATAATTTAAGCAATACTGTAGGCTGCTACCCCC